TCCGAGGGGCTACGTTTCCACAATGAGCCCGGATTGAATGAAGTGACTTGACTTTGATATAAACATCCAAAGCTTGCAGTTTGTCACTTCCGCATAAATGGATTAGCGATTATTTTCATGTCACATTATACTTTATTTTCTCATCAAATCTCGGACCACTTAAATGCTCTCTAGTATCTGACATGCCCCGCCCCCTTCAATTCTCTTCTTATTATCTTTGCATTTGATGCGCTTTAGCTCAACCATTCTCATGAGCAGAGCTGTGATAAAACAAAATCCTATTGGCTGTTTTTAAGGGGAGGAGCAAGTTTATGCCCTGCCCACTCTTAATTTTTTAGTTGAGATTACGTTAAACTTCAAATAAAAAGGCACATTTCGAAGAACTTCACACAACCATCTGCAGAAAAATTATTCAATTAATCGTGTTTTAAAACATTTGAATCATTGCCCAGCACTAGTTCTGTTAATATTTTTGAGAGTTTGTCAGTTCTTGTTTAACCAGCTTCTGATTTAGGACTTTCCTCCAAAATCACCACCATCTTTAGTCCCCCAACTGACCTGAAACAAAGCTCTGTGGGCTTCAAACACGGCACACGTGCCCATACCCGGCCCGATAGCATATCTCTGATCATAAGAAGCCCTCTCTCCTGATGGAGGGCAATTGCCCCCGCGTGTAACATGTCCAGGAGCCTTTTAACTTGAGCAAACTGCTGGAAGTTTTTATGGCTGGAGGTAATTGGTTCCAGGCGGCACTGGGAAGTGGAAGGCCTTGAGCTGGATGAGCCCCTCCAGGTTCGTCTTTTGTCTTTGTGCCCTGAAAGGAAGCGTTTTACCTTCTGTTTTATCAAAGGATCCATCCCAGCACCTCATCCAGACAGCGGCCATCACTGTTGCTCCCCTCAGTAGAGCAGAGATCTGCACTAAACATGTGGTTGTGTTTTAATCATTGTTTACAGTTTGATTGATGTAGCGTCAAGGCCGAAGTTGGACCCGCTGTCTTTTGGTGTTTGTCAAGCGATTGTGTAACATGAGTTCTGTTCCAGAATCTAGTCTGTTCTCATCTTAAGCAGCTGACTAAAATATAACTGTTATGATGTTATGTTGCTGGGCTGATGACATTATAATCTTGTAATATTGAAACTATCCAGAACTAGAAAATATTGGCTGAAATTAATTATTATTTTTTGTTTGTTTTTTATTATTGTTTTTTTTTTTAAGTAATTGAAATTATATGTACTGATTATAAATATAAATGTTGGGTTTGCAAATATACCAGACTTAATGCAAGTGTGAAATTCATTCATTTATTTATTTATTTATTCAGCTTAGTCCCTTATTTAATTCGGGGTCGCCTCAACGGAATGAACCGCCAACTTATCCGGCATGTTTTTAAGCAGCGGATGCCCTTTGGTATACATATTGGTATACATTGTCATAAAAAATGCTGCTATATTGATGTGCATATCCCGCTTCCAGCCTGCCGCGTATCCTACCTACTGCGCCACTGCGTCACCAGTGTGTAATTAAAATTACAGTTACAAACTTTCTCACAACTTAATTTAATAAAATTTATATAATTAACAATAATAATTTCTATAATTATTTGGTTAGCGTTTATTTAAATAATTTATTTACATTTAGTATTTTTAAAAATTATTTTAAATTTTTGTTGAAATTAATTTCAGCTTGTTTTAGTCATTTAATTAGTCATTGTTAGTAATTGTAAATTGTCGTATTTAGTTTTGTTAACCTACTTTTTGGTTTTAACTTTAGCACTTTAAAATATTTTCATTTATCAAAATGTATTTGGGCATAAAGTATATATATATATATATTTAATGGTCCAAATTATTAGCCTCTTTAAGAATTATCAGACCTCCTTTGATTTTTTTTTTCTTTTTATTTTCCAAATGATGTTTAACAGAGCAAAGAAGTTTTCACAGTATGTCTGATAATATTTTTTTCTTCTGGAGAAAGTCTTATTTGTTTTATTTGGGCTAGAATAAAAGCAGTTTTTAATTTTTTTAAAACATTTTTAAGAAAATTATTAGCCCCTTTAAGCTATATATTTTTCAATAGTCGACAGAACAAACCATCGTTATACAATAAGTTGCCTAATTCCCCTAACCTGCCTAGTTAACCTTATTTACCTAGTTAAGGCTTCAAATGTCACTTTAAGCTGTATAGAAGTGTTTTGAAAACAATCTAATCAAATATTATTCACTGTCATTATGGCAAAGATAAAATAAATCAGTTATTAGAAATGAGTTAATAAAACTATTATGATTAGAAATGTGTTAAAAAAAATCTCTACGTTACACAGAAATTGGGGGAAAATAAACAGGGCAGCTGATAATTCAGGGGAGCTAATAATTCTGATTTCAACTGTGTGTGTGTGTGTGTGTGTGTATACAGGGCACTCTATCTTATCTGTATGCTATCTGTAATTTACATGGACTGCAACTGCTATGAATCTTCAATGTGCCAATCAACACCTGCTACTGCTGTAAACAATCTGGACTGAGTACGTAAAAAAAATATGCTGGATAAGTTGGTGGTTCATTCCGCTGTGGTGACCACAGATTAATTAAGGGACTAAGCCGAAAAAGAAAAAGAATGAATAAATGTTTATGAAGACTGCAGAGTGATGCATAAAAAATTACTTCGATAATTGTTTAAGTAGTTTGTGATGTATGTTAAAGTGTGCCCCCTAATTTTCCCATTGATATATGATGCCAGTCTGTTCTTTTTGACTCATCCACACTTGAAGTTTGGCCAGAGGAGAAATGGTCTTCCCCAACTGAGCCTGGTTTCTCTTTATTCGCAAATATTTTATGTGATACTCCAGTTTTTCGTGTAAGTCTGATTCGCATCTTTGGATAGAAACATAGCTAACGTCACTAAGTTGACCACTAAGAAGGCTGTGCGGCTTTTAGCTGACTTTGATTTCACTCACGAAAAGTTGTTTGTGACTAATGGGCTTCCCGTGGAGCATGTAATTCTGGGAGACAGCCTTTGTCTCTGGGGTCTCAGCTGAGTATGTGCCTGCCACTAGGAGATTTCGACAAGGCCTCAGAATTTTTTTTTTTTACAGATTTTGCGAGAGATCAGCGTCTTTCTGCAAAGATTTTGACTTGAGAGGCTTCACGGCTTTTGTTCTCGGCAGACAACACATTACATGGCAGAGCGCTTTCTGCACCGCATGCCGTTCTCAGTGGCTCTTTAATGGGATGCAATAACATCTCACAACTTTGCCATATGTTTTCAGGATTAGAGCTGTGTTTACTCATCTAATCGCTGTTAAATATCAAATAAAGCAGTAAGCCTCGGGAGCCCATCTGTATTAGTAATTATATAGTACAATTTAGGGTGCAATGAAACAGATTTCAATTCGTTTCTCACCTTCATATACAGAAAGAAATAACCCTGTTCTTTCAGTGTTATTTTGGTGGCTTAATAGTTTTTAATTAGCATTTATTTAAATATATATGGGGGATGTGGTGACTCAGTGGTTAGCACTACTGCCTCACAGCAAGAAGATCGCTGGTTCGAGCTGTGGCTGGGTTACTTGGCTTTTCTGTGTGGAATTTGCATGTTTTCTCCGTGTTCGCGTGGTGTTTCGTTCCAGGTGCTCTGGTTTCCTCAGGGTGAAGGAACTTGTTTAAGGGTTGAATACACACTTTTTATGATACTGAACTTTAGTTTTTGTTTTTTTTGTTTCTGAATATTGCGCTTAGCTGGTTTATCACCTTATGATTTTATTTTATTTTATTTATTTATTTTTTATTAATAAATATTTTTGTTTTAAACCGCTGGTCCAGCCTGATCTCACGAGGAAACGTAAGTATTTTACGTTTTGTCATTTTAGTGGCTAATTCGTACAAATTCGTACGAGTTAAGTTGAAAATGTACGATTTTAAAAAGAAGGCGTGGCACCTAACCCCACCCCTAACCCCAGCCGTCACTGGGGGGTGAGCAATTCGTACTAAATTGTTCGAATTAAAACGTACGAATTCATACGAATTAGCCACTAAATCAAAAAGGTACTAACTGCCGTGAGATTGCGTTGGCTGGTCTGGGTTAAATAAAGGAGTGTTGAAGTCTGTCTTGTGTTTTAGTTGTGAGAATGCTAATTAAATAAAACTGTGAAGTTGATCAGCAGTGTGTTCTCCATGCAGCACTGGAGTGACGTTATGAGGGCATTAATGGGAGCATGTTCTTTGGAAAAGTAACTCAAAAATTATTTTTAACAGTAATGCATTACTTTTTGGTGTAAGTAATCGATAATGAGTACAATATTCAAATCGATTTGAATACAATATTGGTTGGTTTAGGGATGGGGTGTGTGGGTCAGTCGGTATCAAGCTGATATACAAGCAGCGGTATCCGCTGTCGCCACTGGCTCGCATGGTTCAGGATTGGTAGAGCTACGCATCGATGAATTTTCTCTTCAGTGTTTGAACTCTCAGTAATGATTTTAAATCACACTGAACTGAGCTAAACTGAACTGAACTGAACTTAAACACTAAAAACTAAACTACACTGTTCCAGTTCCTATGACCATCTATGTGAAGCTGCTTTGACACAATCTACATTGTAAAAGCGCTATACAAATAAAGCTGAATTGAATTGAATTGAATTGAATTATGCATGACGACAAGCCAATTGGCTTCTCTCCTTGTTGCAAGATGTTTATATATGTACACATTGTTCTCTGGTGGATTTGTTAAAAATGGCACGTATGACAAAACTATCACAATCTGAGATTGTCAAAAGTGTACACGCGCCTTTTAGTGGAGTTTGTGAAAACAAAAACTGCAAGAACATGTAGTACAGTGTACATATTTCTTGATTCTCAGAAATGTAGCCCTGGGCACATATCTCAACTGAGTCTGGGTTGCAACAAAGTCAAGTGCAACAATATATATTATATAATACAATGATCGAGGCCTGAAACATCAGCTTTCTCTGTCATCATGTTCTCTTTTTCTTCTCCACAGGCAGCATCTTCAGCCCTCAGCAGCCTGGGTCACGTCTACACAGCCATCGGGGACTATCCCAACGCTCTGGCCAGTCACAAGCAGTGCGTCCTGCTGGCCAAACAGTCCAAAGACCAGCTGTCTGAGGCCCGCGAGCTGGGCAACATGGGCGCAGTCTACATCGCGATGGGCGACTTTGACAACGCTGTGCAGTGCCACGAGCAGCACCTGAGCATCGCCAAGAGCCTCGGCAACAAGCGCGAGGAGGCCCGAGCCTACAGCAACCTGGGTAGCGCTTACCACTACCGCCGCAACTTCGACAAGGCCATGTCCTACCACACGCACGTGCTGGAGCTGGCGCAGGAGCTGGAGGAGAAGAGCATCGAGATGAGGGCGTACGCCGGCCTGGGACACGCTGCCCGCTGCATGCAGGACCTGGAGAGAGCCAAGCAGTACCATGAGCAGCAGCTGAGCATCGCTGAAGGCCTGAAGGACAGAGCCGCCGAGGGCAGGGCTTCATCTAACCTGGGTGAGCATACTGTTGTTTCTCTTTTAGTAGTTTTAGGGACTTTGTCGTATACATTAGTGTGCAAAAGTGATAGCCCCCAGTCAAATGTGTTGTTTTAGTGAGAGTATAATGACATTATACATTATTTCTCACTCTGTTTATTAAAATACAACCAGAAAATACAGGTTCCAGTTGGACTTTTTTGGTCTAATTGTTTAAGACCATAGACTGTAAAATATATGGACGTAGTGTCCGTGACGTCACCCATAGGTTTCTAAAGAGCGCAAGAGAAGCCACAAGTAGGCGCGGCCAACCGTCGCCATTTTGTTCGCGCGTCATCACACCCACGGCGGGATACCAAACAAGGGCAAAGAGGCGGAGAGTGAGCGGAGCTACAGACACCTGCAGACAGTTTGCTTGGACCTGATTCAGACACACTTTACTTTGGGAGAACGCTTAATACTTTATCACCTGCGACTCGTTTGTATTCTGACCACTTGTGCTTGATTGTACACTATATCAATAAAGTGTTTAGACTTTTAAAAACACTGCTGTAATACATTGAGCCACTAAACATTGCTCTTATGACGTTTTTCAACAGGAGGAAAGCGCGAATTACTTCCAAACACTTCAGATATAGTCTGTGTTAGTTACTGTAAGACTATTGATGAAATCCAGCATAACACTGTATGACAACGCTTCAGATGACTGTTCTAGAGCCTACAACTCCTCAATTCGTCAGATTCTGGAGTGTATTACAGCTCTAAATATAAATAAAAACGATAAATGATATTTAAATAAAACAAATACATGTACAGAGATGGTATATAAGTATATAACTTTACTCACATGGGAAACGGAGGCCACGTGAATGGTTTGTGAGCACAATTAAGTGCACTCAGCATGCCAAGCCATCTGATAATTGTAGGAAACAAGTCCAAAAGGCAGTTGAGTGTGTAAAGCCACATAAAACAACACAGAAATACGATAAATATGCCGAGTTCAATGGCTAATCTGCAGGATTCAGCCTAGGTGACGTGATCGACCAGTGAGACCTAGCTGTCACTCAAGTGGCCACGCCCTTAATTATGCAAACTTAATATAGCTTAATATAAACGAAACGGATGAGTTATAAAAAAAATTCACCCCCCCCCACAGTTGTCATGAAGGGTAATATTAGCTGTATTAACCAAAATCTTTTTTGTACCAGGCTGTAAACACCTTTTTTTTCTGCTGTAAAGTTGGCCATTCTAACAGTGGGCTCAATTGAAATTTGCTCTGTTTTGGAGCCAGGAGCGGCCAGGACTAGCGGAATTTCGGATGAATTGCAGTTTTAGTTACTTCCGTATTGGCTTCCTGAGAGAGAGCGGGAGGTTGCTGCTTGTTTAAGACTTATATAAAAAAAAAGAGTTTGAGAAAGATGGAAGAATGAATGAAAACTACTGTCTTGTTTTGATCTGCATTTCTGCCAGAGTTGTTATCAATATTGCCTGAATTGATGGGACTGTGAATGCTGAAAACTACAGACAGGCTTTAACTCTTTATGTAATTCCTTCTAGAAAGCTGCTCATTTGTAATAGTTTTATTTTTCAGCGTGATAATGATCCCAAACACACACTGCTAATGTAATTAAATCATGTTTGGAGATGCTGATGAAACAAAGACAGTCATGAAATGGCCTGTACAGAGTCCAGACCTGAATATTATAAACAGTATGTATAGGCAATATTATAGGCAGTATGAGATTCACCTGGAGAGAAAAAGAAAGGTACACTGTAAAACCAAACAGTCAACTTTATCAAATGAAATGAGTGTCGTTAACTCAGAATTGACTGATAGTAAATTCTACTCATTTGAAAAGAGTTTTGAACTCAGTGTTGAAGGTAATGAGTTAATTAAATACTGCATTCAACTTAAATGAAGTAAGTTCACAGCACTCATATAGATTCGTTTTTTTATACTCAAATGATTTGTAGCAAACGGTTTCTTCAAACGGTTTGAGTTGCCTTAACTTTTACAGTACTCAGTTGATTTGAGTTTTCATTTATTAGGTTTTACTGTGCTCAAATTGCTTCGTTTACGCAAATGGATTAAGTTCACAGTACTCATTAGGATTAGTTAAGTGGTTTGTTGCAATCGGTTTCCTCAAATGGTTTGAGTTACCTTTATTTTATTGGGTTTTACAGTGTAGAACAAGCTTAATTTAAGGAAGGAAGCTTGAAAGATGCTTTATATTAAATAACATTTTAGTCATTTCAAAAAAGACTCAACAAAAAAGGTATGTTAAAGGAATTGTTTACCCAAAAGTAATGACCCTCCACGTGCTCCATACCTGTTGGATAAATAGATTTGTCCCAAAGATGGTGGTAGTTTTGTAGTGTTAGAGCCAGGGCTATTTTAAAATTTTCATTTTAGGGGGGCTCAGCTCCTTAAAAGGTAAATTTATATGTGTATATATATATATATATATATATATATATATATATATATATATATATATATATATATATATATATATATATATATATATATATATATATATATATATATATATATATATATGTATATGTACAGTATATATCTTAAATAGCTTACCAATCAGATTATATACAGAAGTTAATAGAGATTTTAGATGCTTGTTCTTTTGAAAAAAGCCACTCAGCTTATCTAGTTTCTTAATAAAGTATAAAAATGTGATAAAATGGAATAAATTCTAAATATGAAGTCAATATTTCTAAATAAATATCATATATACCAAATAGTTTTTTCCTCCCTTACTTTATAACAACTATTGACTAAACTGTTTGCTTTTTAACTCTTCCAATTGAATTCTTCTTTAGAAAAAAGCACCCAATACTAAAGTAAAAACTGCAGTTAAATCTCCAGAGACATGAACAAGCAACCTGTGAACATTAAAATGGTCCTCTGGGGCAGTTTAAAGACACTCAGACTTCAGTGATCCTCATCAGAAGAGGCGACATGGAAGAAATCAATGCTCAGCAGCCCATCTCTGAGTTGATGCGTTCAAGTTGAGTGCCTTTGAGAAATGATGTGGCCTTTTTTGGAGCTCTAGTGTCTCCATATAATCTCATATAGGGTCTCATTCAACAACCATACATGTATGAATGTGCTTGAGTACAACAGCTCAAAAAATAAAAAAATAAATAAATAAAGGAATTATTTAAGTCTCTGCAACTCACAAAACATTTAATTTAAACAATAAATAAATAAATAAATTATATATATATATATATATATATATATATATATATATATATATATATATATATATATATATATATATATATATATATATATATATATATATATATATATATATATATATATATATATATATATATATATATATATATATATATATATATATATATATATATATATATATATATATATATATATATATATATATATATATATATATATATATATATATATATATATATATATATATATATATATATATATATATATATATATATATATATATATATATATATATATATATATATATATATATATATATATATATATATATATATATATATATATATATATATATATATATATATATATATATATATATATATATATATATATATATATATATATATATATATATATAAATATATATATATATATATATATATATATATATA